AATTTTTTTTGATAAATATATTCTATAAATCTTCAAATATTAAATATATTTATTTAATTGCAAGTTAATATGTAAAAGTTTGTGTAATTATATTTTAATTCAAATATATTAAGTTGGTGTATCATGCTTAATAAGACAACCAATATTATCAAAGATTTGTATTATTTTTTTAGTTAAGTCTTTGTAAATAGACTTCTTGTTTTTTAGTTTTTATATATTTATACAGTTTTATAAACTTATTTTAAGTTTGCACCACCTAATACTGATTTGCATTTCTTTATATAATCAGTTACAATGATGTTCTATAATCTGTCAGTTATATTAATATGATTATAATTACAAATGTCTTAATCTAATTATTAGAAACAATTATTATAACACAGATAATTATTTAAATTTATACTAGCAATAAGTTTTAATCTTCTAATTTGTTACTTAAAAGGGTACCAACTTATCTATTTTACTAAATTACTACATATTTGAATTTTAGAATCTTAAAAAATAAAAAAAATATTTTATAATTATTTTAATAACTAGTAATTCAATTTAGATAATTTTTTTAAAATAAAAACTCTTTATAAAGTATATTTAATAAAAAATTTATTAATTTTGCTTATTAAATTCTAAAATAATTAAAAAAATAAATTTTTAATTTTTAATAAATTAGATTAAAATTAGTTAAAATTTAGTATCAAAAATATTAAAATTTTAGATATTAGTTTTTTAATAATTAACTATATTAATGTAATTATTATTATTATTTTAATATTAAAATGAGTATTTGTAATCTAGACTTTATTAATAGTATGTTTTAACTTTGTAATTGTATTATAATTCTTATAAAAAGCAACTATAGAAAAAGTATACAACTAGTTATTTATACAACTTTAATTATTATTTAATTTAAGTAGTTTATATAAAGGTTTTACACTAGTTGCTATATCTAAAACCTGCTTATAAGTCTTTTATTTAAATGCTCTAGTTTTTATATTCATCTGTTTACTTACTTTACTAACTAACTTAGTTTTTATTATTGCAAATAATCATAATTACTAAATCTTTAAAATAGTTTACTTATATAAAAAATCTTTAATCTTGTACTAATTTTACTAAACCTTTTGTTGTTCAATTTTTAACTAATCTAGTATTACTATAGCCAAGAGCAATACTTGCAGTCAGGCAATTCTTAAACTATTATATTCTTGTAAAGTTCATACAACTCTAATATCTCTTTTGCAACCTTACTAATACCTTGTATTCTTTTGCAAGTCCTTCTATACTATCAATTTAGTTAGCTTTATATAATATAACTTTTAACTAATAGTTAGATTAATAGATCACTTTATCTAGAGTTCTTGTTTGTATAGGTCTCTGAATTAAAATTTTCACAGATAGTATTATCAAAAATCATATTATCACTTTACTTAAAATCTCTAAACAAGACTTCTTATAAAGTATATATTTTCTAGTTTATTTATAATATTGATGTTTCTAAAGTTATTCTTAATACAATCAAAATTACCAAATTACAACTCAGATATCCCAATTAAGTTGTCAGAATAGAACTATTTTTCAAAATTTTATTACAAGTAAGATTTGAACTCTAGACCTATTATTTGAAAAATAACAAACCAATATAATTATTTTTAAATTATAAAGCAGTTTAAATGCTTATATAAATAATTAAAGTTAATACTAATTCTACTTTAGATAATATAAAAAACTTAATATTGTTAAAAAGAAAAAATTATCTTAAAATAATTAAAAATAATAAATTAAAATCTTAAAATTCATTATAAATGCTAAAAACTTTCAAATAAAAATTTATAATTAAAGATTATTTAAAAGATCAAAAAAGTAAAAAAAATCTAAATAAATATAACTTATTATACAAGAACAGAATTCTAGTAACTAAATCTTTGCTATTATTAAAATTTGGTATGCAACATATATTCTACTTTTATTAAAAAAATAAATATTTAAAATAAACAAATTATTAGATTGTGAATTAAAAACATATCAAAAATACTTTAAAATACATTATATTTAATAAGTATAAAATATAACAGACTAAAAACCCTTATTTTAAATAATATAATTAATGCAAAATTTATACAGTACAGATCAGATTATTAATAAGCTCAAATAAGTAGACAGAAATAAAAAACAGCATATCAAAAAAGTCTAATCTTAAAAATTAAAATCTTATATAACAACTTGGAAGTAACTACAAAGAAAAATTTTATTCATAGTAAGTAATTGACCTTGAACTAAAAATACATTTAAAATTATGTATACAAAGAGTAATATTATTTAATAAGGTATGCAACAGAGTTTCTAAGGTTGACACATATAAAGAATTGAATATCTCAAAAGAATCTGCTTAGAACAATAAAAAAAAAAGGCACTGATTACAGTTATAATAGATCACTAATGCTAAAAAAAATATATTCTAACATTTAATTTACAATACATTACCAATTGATCAGAGCCTAAAACACCTCTTTATAACGTCAAACACTAAACCTCACATTACATTGCAGAATTAGCAAAAAAATTTGGAACACAGCATACATTTTTTGAAAATTCCATTAGTCAATCAATTAGATACAATAGAGGAAATAATTACAGTAAATAAAGTAACCCACCTAGACTTATCCAACTATAATCTGGCTCTACATTAATATAATGTATGAGATATGGTTTTGATTCACTAATGTAAAATGGGAAAACAAGGAAAGACTAAATACTCAAAGAAATAAGAAGTTTATTGGTTGGTAAAAAGTTGAAAAAAAGAATGAAGCTATTTAGACTTATTTACTATTCTCATAAGAACAATGTAATTTATAATTATATTATGCAAAACAATGCAATTCTAATATAATTTCCAATCTAGAATAACAATTATTGGAATTTGATGTAAATAATGTAAATAGACTGTAAAATTACTTCAATTTAATAAAAAGCGTCTCATGATGGCTTCAGATGTATATTGCCTAGAAAAAAAAACTATAAGTTTAAAAGCATGAAGTTTAGATTTCTTATAATATTATACGAATACAATCAAAAGACTATTGTTTTGTTTGTTGCTTTGTACACTTCTTTATATAAGCTACATGCAGTGCTTAATAACCCCATGCAAATCATTTTATTCATCACACACTCAGTCTTTTCAAAGTCTTTATGGATTTGATCTTCACTGAAAGTTCTGACTAGAGGTTGGAACCGGTTTTAATAATTCGGGTTTATCACATGAATTTTGTGATATTTTAGAATTTATTAAAATTTAATTGGATAAATTTCTAAAATATCCCAAAATTCACGGGATAAACTCGAATTATTAAAACCGGTTCCAACCTCTAGTTCTGACTTTTGCCAAAGGTTTCGACTTTCGCCAGGTTTTCACCTGAGTTTTGCGCCATTTTGCCAAAGGTACACCAGTTTCATCTTTCACTGGTTTAGTTTCACCTTACGTCATTTTCCAAAAATAGTTTTGCTTGACAATACGCATGTGTCAATCCGTTCCTATGATAAACATTCAAATGTATTCCATAAAGTTTGTTAGCCTCCTTAATAAAAGGATATTGCGAATTTTGTTGTAACTAAATCAGTTTTAAGTTTAAAAATTTTTTAAAAATAAGTTGTACGATAATAAATTTATAGAAAATTTTTCTAAGAAAATTGGTTTCTTTTATAATTCACTAAATATCTTTGTAATATCTATAATAGCATTGAGATTCGTATGCATATTGCTTTCTCCAATTTCTAGGAGTTTTCAAATAGTACTTTTCCTAATTTATATGATATAAACACATCAATTTTTTATTATTATTTGAAACTAGCATGTGGGATACTTTCATTTTAGCTTAAGGAATGGGGGAATGGGAGTATGGCTTAGGAAATTGTACAAAAATTGGGGTCAAAAAATTTTGTGGGTTAATTTGCCCACTGGACGCTTTAAGGGATACATAAAATCATGGCAATATATCACATTGCATGATTGCATATAATAAATTTTAAATATGTCATAATCAAAACGCATTGCATAAGTAATTCGAGACATGTTAGTGTAATAGATTTTGAAATGTTATATGTTCTCGCATAATTGCAATCTAAAATGTTTATGTTTTCAAGGAATATTTAAGATACCAAATTTTACACTAGTAAACTAATATTGTTTAAATATAAAAAAGAAATAGATAAGATAATTAGCTTAAATAATAATAATGAATTTTTGATTGGCTAAATATAAATCCATGTAATATTAATTATTTCTTGATTTTAAAAATTTGGCTATAAATATCAAAGTTAGTTCTATATTGATTCTAATCACATTTAATTTCTAGGTACATTCTTCGCTATAATACATCCAAAATGGATTTGTTTTAAAAACTTCGATAGTTTCAGGATCGGATTCTTTTAATAATGCTTTACTAAAGTACATACAAGGTTCATTAAATGTAGCTTTCCATAACCATATTTTATCAATAACAAAATCATCCTCGTTATTTTTTACTGGCATTACTACATACGGTCCCCATAGAGGCAATGATTTATAAAACATTGCAGATGCCAAAAAGCTAAACGATGACCCGAATGTAACTACTAGATCATCACAATAACTAAGGATACTCAAATCGACAATAGCTTCTACTTCTGTACCGGGATTGCCACCAATGGGATTAATTACGTCCATATCATTACTTGCGTGAATAATCTTTGTCGAATCATTCATTGAGCCAAGTGAGTTATGAAGACAATTTATTAAAATATCACGATTATTATTATTATCTGTAGCCACAAAGATTGTTACATTCTTTTTTTCTGTTCCAATCATCAACATCTTTGCTGCACTGCAAAAATTTTCGATAGGTGTTATAGTATTGCCAATCATCATATTCTTTATCATTCTTATGTGAATTCCTATATTATACTCTCCAAAATTATTGTTTATAAAAGTTTCCACTTTTTCGGTAATATTGGGTTTTATCCTTAATAACTTTTGACTAATGGCATTATATACTTTATTGTTCGGTATTATGCTACTAATCCATTCTTTGTAGTTAGGATTCGAAATTAACGGAGCACACACATAATCCCATGTTCTCACAAATAAAATGTCATATGTATTTATTTCCTCATTACTAAGATTTCCTCTAGTTATTAATTGAAAAGCATTTTGGTTATTGTCATGTAAATATCTGGATCTACTATTGTTATATAAGTTTGCAACACTTTTCCAGTCATGGTCAAAATCTTTCTCAAAATATTCATCAAAATTATAAAACCCATCAATAAAAAATAACCTATCAGTGACTATAGAATAAAGAAAACCACACGCTAATGCAGGTAACCTATTCCCTAAGCCTAAATACATAAGAGACTGTACGACAATGACTTTTGGAAGCTTTGCTGAGTTAACTTTAGTAGTCTGGTTCAATAATTTTGCAACTGTTCGATTGTGTTTCTTAATATAATCTTCATAAAGTGCATCAAATTTAGGAAATCTAGCCCTTTGTTTCTCTTTTTCCGAAAATATTAAAGGCTGTGTAATATTTGTAGTATTTTTATCCGAAAGGTCGTTATTGGGCGATATGACTGGATTTGTCTTTATGAAAACATCTATGTAAATTCCTGCTAAATTTGCAATAAGCATAACCGAAGTAATGACAATTGCGATTTGAAGTTTCATTGTATTTTAATTTAGTGCTTTAATCGAAAAATTTTCAACCTAAAATGAAATATAATAACTTGAGATAAAATATAGTTAAGGGAAAGAGTAAGAATATGCTGCAATCGATTTACACTAGTAAATCACCAACAATTAAATATTGGGGTCTCCGATCAGTCGTTGTACGGACTGTGCGCAGCACACAATATCACATTAACCCTAGCTGCCGCACAAAATTTGTCACGGAAGATTTTCGATTTTGATTTGCTAAGAGCGACGATCTAAAATTTAGGCTGAAATTACTCAAATTTTTACTAATGAAATCACAGCCGCCCATTAAGTAAAAAATTTTCCTGGGCTAATTTTGTCATGAAACGTCTATTTCTTTAAAAATTTTCTATTTCTGGATGAAAAGGTTAAAAAGTTAATCCTGGCCAAAAATTATGTAAATTATTATTAAAGCGGTCAAAATTTTGTAGATCGCGGCCGTTATCCAATCAAACTCGTGACAAAATTGGTGCGTCAATCAGAAACAAAAATTTTCGCATTTTGTACATAGTGCGCACAGTGCAAACAGTTGCTTATAGTTTTTCTTTATTTTCCGCACAGAAAAGTTTCAAATTGAGCGGCATCGCAGTAGATTTTAACTGACAAATTAAACTGTTTCAGATATACTAATGCTATATTAGGTATTATAGTAAAATCTAAGGCTGTCTGCAAGTACCAATAAAATGTCCACTAGAGGCCTGCACGGCCTGGTGAGGTAAAAACATAGTAAAAAGCTGCAGAACTTTTTAAAACCATAATAAATTTTATTTTGCGGGCCGAACGGGTCGCAAAAGTTTAAATTTTTAGGTTCATAAAGGTCCCTAATGTCCACTATATTGCATATTACCAAATTTCGAGAAGCCGATTTTGTTTTCCTTTGTGTAAACTAGGCTACTTCAAAAAAGAAACTCATTTGCTCTATAAAAAATGTGATCCGTGTGTTTTATATTCCGTGTTTCGTTCAAATTAGTATATTATTCCGATATAGTAACACAGTTGATAAATAATTTTTTTTATACATTTTATACTACTTCTTTTAATGATCGGGTAGATTAACTTTCTAAGGAACAAGAGCGAATTTAACGGATGAATTAATGCTTATGACATTTTCCTTAAATTCCCGTGAATCCCACAACTTTTTATTTTTCAATCTGATTGGTCAATTTATTAAAATTCGAGATACGATTGGTTGATAATAATGTGTAACTATATCGGAATCATGGACGGTCGTCCCTGTTTTGTTGCATATTTATGGAATTTAAAACCTTAAATCATAAAGTAATTGGTTTGTCTAGATTTTATCGATCAAGTTGCGTTGATATTACACGACTGACATATAAAAAATTTATTTTATAACTAGTACTTAGCTCGTCATTAAATGACGGGTTATATGATAAAAAATAAACATAGTATTAAATATGTTGTGCTCAAATATTGCAAAGACTGTTATTTTACAGAGACCCGTCAGGGTTATATATCAAAATTGTATTAAACGTCACCTATACGTATAAAGGTCCTGAAAATCAAAATTAAATTCGGAACGGTCCATGTTACACAACTATGCAATGTTATATGTTTTAATATTGATGTTGTAAGTAGAAAATGGATAAGGAATTTATAAATAAAAACCGTTTTTTGGGGGTTGATTATGTCATATATACACCCTAACCCTAATTTAACTAGGAAATTCCATTCCCACCTACAACATATATATATTGATTGATTGATACCAGATAATTCCGCTAGTACATGTTATTTTACTATAATAAAAATGGTGTTGGATTGTAATTATAACATGTACTAGAGGAATGATCTGTAAAATATTATTTTATATGTTGCACACCAGGTGAAGGATCAGTCGTGTAACATCAACGGTCCTCCTGTATCATTGCCATGTTGCAGATTCACGGAGCGACCGTCCAAATTCGTAGATTATTCCGATATAGTTACACAATTGATAAATATTTATTTTAAATGACTACTTTTTTTAAAAGCTCGATAGCTTAACATTCTATGAAACGAGAGTAAATATAACGGATGAATTAATACTTTCGCTTCACCTTATAACATACACTTTGAATCCCACAACTTATTACAATCTGATTGGCAGATTTACTAAAATTCGAGATACGATTGGTTGTTAATCTGTGTAACTATATTGGATCCTCTACGAATTTGAACGGTCGCTCCTGTTGGTTATATATCTTCGTTATGCTGTGCTTGAAATTGGAATAGGGCAATCGAAAGAGTATAAAGATCAGAATTTGGCATGATATTTATATATACTCTTAAGCTAAAATTTCATGCTGAAAACTTTTTTTAGTAAAATCTTAGTTACTGGTATTTATGATTTTTTTTTGTTTTCACATGATCTTGTGATTTTATTGGTTACATTCAGCAATGATCGACATAAACTGTCAGATTTCATACATGCATGCCTGAAGTTAATAAAATGATTTAATTTCAGGCACGACAGTTACACCGAAATCCAACCATTATAATAATTAACGTAACATTATAACATAGGCAGAAGTTTGTCTGATTGGCTAATAAATTCAATTTAATTTTACATTATTTGTACAGTTTAGAGTACTTTTTTAAAAAACGAAATCCAACCACAATAAAGTAAAAAAAAACATATAGAAGGTTTCATTAGAGCCATAGCCAAAAATAAGATCTAATTCTCGTCCGTTTAAGAAAGTTAGTATAGCAATAACTTCTCAAAATCTGATAAAATCAACTTATTACAAAGCTAATTTTTTTAATCGGACGAGAATTAGATCTTATTTTTGACTATGGAGTCCTACAACTCTAATAAAACCTTCTATATGGTTTTTTTTTTTACTTTATTATGGTTGGTTTACGTTTTTTTAAAAAGTACTCTAAACTGTATAAATAATGTAAAATTAAATTAAATTTATTAGCCAATCAGACGAACTCTGTCTATGAGATTTTCTTGACATAAGGGTACCCCCCACAGTAAGGATAAGCCACTGCGCAGCCTGCAACATTATGCAAGCTGACCAAAATTATACTAGCTGGTCTAGCTAGCCTGAATTCTAAAAGTCACACTGCGCAGTCATTCAAAAATTCTGCTACGTATAGTACAAAGTGTACTGTATATATGTCGCATCTGAAGTACGTAGCGATTTATCTAATGTAGCTACTTTATATATCTTAAGTAGCGCCCCGGCTAAAATTATAACTTAAATGCATGCATGAAGATCTAATTTCAGGGGCTTAATTTTAGCCAGGCGCAACTTTAGATAAATCACTACTTTAGATGTACTGTACATCTTATTGAATATATATCCTTGTGACTTCAACTTGTTACGTATTTTATACTTTGTTATACATTGACATGGGAATACTGTTCAATTATACGCGATTGAACGTTGCGTGATAAAAACTTACGATTTATATTTGATATTCGCTGCTTATATACCTTATGTACGTATCTATAAAAAGTTGTACCGCATTTAATGATTTATATATGTACGTACATATCTATAAAAGTTGTATTAAACAAACTTTCATTCTAATGATTTATGTACGCATGTACGTAAATCGGCATTTTTGGTTTAAAATGACAAATAATCCAAAACAGACCGATATTAATCAAATATATTTAGAAGATAATAACACATGGAATACTTTAGTGAAATTGTTAAAGAATTATATAATTTATATAATGAAGAAAGGTCGAAGGGCAAAAGTCTAGAACAAAGATTTAATATATTGGAACAATTTTTAGTAAAAAAGAAGCAAAATCCAGATAATGTAATTAAATGGTGCTTAGAAAATCAAATTAGTCCTATGGCCCAAATAATTCTTGGTTGTTGTTATCATCATGGTAAATGGATTGAAAAGGATGAACATAAGGCATTCATTTATTACCAAAAATCTGCAGAGATGGGAGACGCTGATGGAATATTTGCACTTGGCATCTGTTATAAAGATGGAATTGGAGTTGAAAAGGATGAACATAAGGCATTCATTTATTATCAAAAATCGGCAGAGATGGGGTACGCTAATGGGGTATTTAATGTTGGATATTTTTATGAAAATGGAATCGGAGTTGAAAAGGATAAACATAAGACATTTATTTATTATCAAAAATCGGCAGATATGGGACACGCCATGGGAACATTTAATGTTGGATATTGTTATCTTTATGGAATTGGAGTTGAAAAGGATGAACGTAAAGCATTCCTTTATTATCAAAAATCAGCAGAAATGGGGTATACTCTTGGAATATCGACAGTAGCAAAATGCTATCGAAATGGAAATGGAATTGCAAGAGATTTAGATAAGGCCAAATACTGGTATCAAAGGTAAACATTGAGTTTAATTTACTCTGAGATGTTGTGATTCTTCATAATCAAATCAATCAAATCAAAAAGGTCAGATGTAATTGAATTTGTCTGGGTTAGAATTATAGAGTTAGGGTAGAGTTATAACTTAAAGTTATAACTTAGAGTTATAACTTAAAGTTATAACTTAGAGTTATAACTTTAAATCTGACTCATGAACAATTACTCCTGATTTTTATTAAACGGCCACGTTGTTACTATCGTACTAGATTTTGTTCAACTTTTCATATCAATATTTGTATTCATATTTGTATGGCATAAATAAATATAGCAATAATTGATAACGCTAAAAATTCTACATGTAAAAAATTACACGTAATATGATCAAATATATACGATAGTAACAACTGCTGGACTTATAACGTTATCGTATGAGAACGATAAATTATACGATAATTTACACGATAATTTATGCGATAATTTATGATAGCTTATATTAATTTAATAAATTCTTATATTTAAATTTCCGATTAGGGAGAAAGAATTAACGTTAGGTATAATTATAGTCTATTAAACTACATTGTTATATTGTTTTAAAATCTAACTTGATAGATTTTATAAATAATTATTAGTTACAAATGAATGGATGCATAATTCTGA